GGTTTTATCAAGAATTTCATCAGGAAACTTAGACGCAAACTCAATAGAGCGACTAATTGGTAAAATAGTATTGTGATGAATATCATAACCTAAAAATCTAACTTTAGTTTGAAACAATTTAATTTTAGGAGCAGATATGACTAAACCATGACTTTTAATGGTATAAAAGAAAGCAGTTAAATGTTTCCAATGTTCATTAATTGATGTTGAAAAAATTAATATATATCATCTATGTAGACAATAGAAAAATGGCTAAATGGGTTAAATATGTCATTCATTATGTTTTGAAATTCACTAGGAGCATTTTTTAAGAGTGCTGCTATTAGCACCTATCAAAATTCTTTAGACCCTCCATTTCTTTGGATCCCAATTCTAAACCCTAAATTTTAATAATATTTTTTTGGACACCCCACTTATTACCAAATCTACCCATATTCACAATGAAATGCACACCCACCTGAATCCATTCCAATTCCTTCTCTTCTCTCTCTCTCTCCTCATCAGTGATGTCTCTTCTCTATCTTTTCTCTCACTCTCTCAAAACCCCTTTTGTTCATATGAGAAAGTGAAAATTTTTCTCTCTCTTCTCTCTCTCTCTCTCTCTCTCTCACACTCAAAACCCCTTCAAAACCCTAGTTTTTTCTCTCTCTTCTCTCTCCAACATTAACCATATCTAAAAAGTGGTTCTTAAAAACACAATGCATTTACTTGTGGGGTTGGTGTTCTTCGTCGATTAGGATTTCGACGACGTAGGTCTCTTTGGAATTTGCCATTGATTGGGAAATTCAGATGAGAAAGTGAAGGTTAATGCGAATTGTAGGAATAGAAAACAATGTATATATATATATATATATGGAAAACTAATCTCCATAATATTTCCATAATATTTTCAGAATAGAAAACTAATCTCCATATTTTTACAATGAAAAGCACACCCACCCAATTTGTTCACCACTGTGTAGCTGAAAAAATGTATTTTGTTCAGAACTGTTTTGTCGAACAATAATGATCCTGTCAGCACTGTATGTCCGAACAAAATTTGTTCATCACTGTGTAACTTGAATCAATTCTAATTCACAACTTAAAATAACATGAATTAAATCCATTCAAAATACATAACTTAAATCCATTTCAATTCACTTTTTTCCATTCTAAGTTAGTTTAACAAAGAAAATTACATAATTAACTATCTGCATTAATGTTCGGAACTTATGTATTGAACGAAAGGATTATGTTCAGTACTGTGTTACCGAACATAACTGTAACAGTCAGCAAACCAGTACCGAACAGCTCGAACGAAACAAGAACGACCGAAAACGACCGAGAATGTTAATACAAGACAGATAAACGATTGAGAATGTTGTCCTCGTCCTCTATTGCTCTACACAGTGAAATAAGTGATAAAGTATACGTTATACTTGAAACAAAATTTTCAAGTTCAATAGCGTTGATGATGGTGATGAAGATGACATATCAGGATTTAAGATGATTATGAAAAATAATAGGTTTAGGGTTTATGTTAATTGGTTATGAAAAGTAATAGGTTTAGGGTTTACAAACATGGAATACGTATAGTTAGAGTTAGAGTTGGAGGTGGGGGTGGGGGTGTGGGTGGGTGTCCAATATTATAGAGTATTAGTTATTATTGATAGGTGGGTGTTCCATTTCAGAATGTCTTTTAATGTAATTTTATTTTAGGATATAATTGTAATAAAAAAAATTATAAAATGGGGGTCCAAAGAATTTTGACAGGTGCTAATAATAATGACCAAAAGGTGTAGTAAAAGCAGTTTTGTATCTATCTTTAGGGTCAATTTGAATTTGCCAAAAATCACTTTTTAAATCAAATTTACTAAAAATAACAGCTTGATTAAGTCTTTTAATCAAATCTTTTTTATTAGGGATAGGATAACGAATCCATTCTAAAACAGCATTTAATGGTTTATAATTGATGACTAGTTGAGGGACACCTCGCTCTAATTCAGCATTTTTATTAACATAAAAAGCAGGACAAGACCAAGGTGATTTATTTGGGCTAATGATTCTATTTTTTAATAATTCATTAATTTCTTTTTTACAAAAGTGGGTGACTTAGTTAGGTGAAAAGACACAGATAGAATTTTTGACAGATTAAGATGACTGACAACAGAGTAATTAAACAAGAAAGGAGAATGATTAATCAGGATTAACAAGACAGTAAGCAACAGATGGCAACATAACTTGGTATGGAATATGTGGAGTAGCACTCATCCCTTACCCCCCGTAAAAATTCCCGGGTAAGAAAATCAGGAAGAGAATTTTGGCAACCAGGTAAATATACAATATATTCTAATAAATACAAAAAGAACTATTCACCTTCCAAATCAAATGATAAATTTTATACTAAACCCAAAAAGAAATATTATAAATCTAAATCACATCCAAAATCTAAATCCAATAAAGATATTACCTGTTATAACTGTGATAAAAAAGGTCATTATTCTAATAAATGCAAAGAAAAACAAAAACTCAAAGATAAAGTTAATTAACTCCAAATCGATGATAACTCAAAAAATCAATTATATAAGATCTTTCAATTAAATCAATCTGTTAGTGATTCCTCTTTTAACTCTAAGGATATCAATGATATTTTTTAATATTAGATATTATTAAAAAATATCACTAATTGTTAATTTTTAACGATGGTTTAAAAAATTTATCACAAAAAATGTTACTAATTACAAATTTTAGCAACAGTTTAAAAAATCGTCACAAAAAAGTTACTAATTTTTTATTTTTAGAAACAAATTGAAAAATTTATCATAGAAAAACATTACAAATTATAAGTTTTAGTAACAATTTATAAAAATCGTGATAAAAAATCATTAATTGTTAATTTTTAACGACATATATAAAAAATTATCACAAAAAAATATTTTAGTGACAATTTTAATAAGACTTAATAGAAGTTAAATTTAACTATTAAAATCTATTAGCATTTTACCCTAATGTTGTGAACCTGATAATGCTAATGTCAAATTTTGACATGATACAATTTCAGAATATGATAAAATTTACAATTCTGATCCAATTGTGCAAATGTCATTTTTTATTAAAATGCTAAACAAAATATCATTAAAAAAGATAAAGATTTTTGTTTTTATAAATTCCAACAGTACTATAATTTAAAAAAGAGATGGTAGGCCATTGGAAATGATTTTTTTAAAAGAGCTCATCAAAATTAGACCGTAGCATGTGCTTGAACACATCACACAAGATGCTCAAAGGCTCTCTAATGGTGTATCAATTTTTTTTTAAAATTTGAGTAGAAATTTCTTTTGATATCAAATGTTTTAATGGAGGGTTTTATAACTTCATCAAACCACCAATTGACCAGCCAGTGTAATTTTTTCACAAATTTTTACCTTGAGGTGGTTATTTGGTGGTAACTATCCAACGACAATAAACAGTAATTTAATAAAAGACACATTATTCCTCAGTTTGATGAAAGAAAAGAAAAATCCTGAATTTAATAATAAATTTGATAAACCATTAAAGGCGTAAAAAATATTTTGTTTATTAAATTTAAATTTAATGATAAATTTAATAAATCATTAGCGATGATCTAAGCACACTAATAAAACACCATGTCAAGAGTAATAGGAACTATTCCTTGGCCAACTAGGATGAAGAGACAAGTCTTGAGAGCCTAAGTTGGGACACCAGTGGCTAGAATGCTGGTGGAAGCTTCACTATGGTAGTGGGTTGTATGGGGTTTGTTAGGGATTCCCATTTGGTAGATTGGGACTAGGGCTTCTTTGGAGTGTTCTGCCGTCAACTCCATTAGTTTAATCTTAGAACACATAAACTAATGCACTACTTGATTGCTAAGTTCATTGAAATTTTAAAAAATTAAGTCTAATATGAACGAGGCAGACACAGTCTCCCACATGTGGCATGTGAATTAAGATTAGTCAATTAAAATCTTGAGCCTTGAGAGCTTAATCCAAGAAATTACTTTGTTCAAGTTTAGAAAAAGTATTTGAAAAATAGATAGATGTCCAAAACCCTAGGAGGCCGCATTGGTTGTGGGTTGAGTTGAACTAAGGCTAGGGACTTCAAATAGCCTAACAAGATCCTACATCAATGTAAATAAGTATTTTTTCGAAGCGAGAATAATTCCCAAGTACAAAATGTCACTTTTACCTATGCATAAATACAAGTTCTATAGTAAATTAAATAACAATCTAAAGAGGAGAAGAAAAAAGAAACCCTAAAATTTGGGGACCAATGCGTTGGCACCAATAGACATTAGTCTAGATTGGGTCAAAAGAAAATTTTCTCAACCAACAAACACATTGCTCCAATATGCATTAGCATGAGAATGTGAATGTTTGAGCCCTAAAATTTGGGGACCAGCCTTGGCTCCAATAGACACCAATCTAGATTGGGTCAAAAGAACCAACATTTTTTCTCAACAAACAAACACATTGTTGTAAGATGCATTAGCATGAGAATGTGAATGTTTGAGCCCTAAATATTCTAAGAAAATTTTTCAAACCCCAAAAATCTACATTGAAGAAACAGCCCTTGCTCGTGCAAAAATTCCATGTTATCTTACCCTAGAAAGCTATAGATGTCTCAAACTCGAATAACCCATGTTGGAGAAACAGTGTTTAGACCCATACAAAAAAATTCAATATAAACATTCCCTGCAAGTGCAAACATACCCACACTGCATCCCCTACAAGATTAGGAAATCAGTGAACAGTTTTTTTTTTACCTTCTTTTTTCAACAGAGGAAATCCCTATAGGTTTCTTGGCCTCAACAGTTCATAACTGTTACATATCTTTGTTCTAATATTGACAAATTAAACAAGAAACAGAGGAGAAAAAAACAAACTCTCCACACATTTCCTTCTTGTATTTAAAAAAAAATATATATATATATATCTTCTTTTGCTCTCATTACAAGGCCAATGGGAAGATGGGCAGTGCTTGGATTTTAGATCAATTTTTACCATGCTGACCGCGGGCAGAAGTTTTGGAGAGAGAGAGAGAGGGGGGCAGTTTTGAGCGTTGTTTGGGTGACCAAATATATCCATTGCCCCTCTCCCAAAACTGGGTCAGCCTTGGATTTGGGGTAAAAAGCCGAGAGAGAGAGAGAGAGAGCTCCCCTGCACTTTATTCTCTTCAAATTCGATACTTTGCTGTACTCGGAACGTGTCTTAGGAGAGAGAAGACCCATCCCCCCTCTTATTTTCTCTCTCAACCATCCCCCACTCTCTCTCTCTTTCTTTGTCTCCTACATTGTCTTGTTCTAAAAAACATATCAGAATCTCCTAGTATTACTTTCACGCATCAGTGTTGTCCCTCTCTGTTCGTTACCCTTTGAATTTCTCTGTTTCTTTCTTCTATCCCATGTTTTTATCTCAAATATACATACAAGAGAAAGACAAATTAAACCCCCCAAGTTAGAGAGTTCTTTCGATTTGCATACCCAGAAACCGAAATGCCAAGTGACTGGGATTTTCTTCTTCTTCTCTTTGTCACCTGAAGAAACAGAGTACTCCATTCTCTCTCTTTAAGACTAGTGAATAGAGTTTATTTTCTCTGTTCTTGGCCCTTCTATTCTATAGAGAGATCTTCTGTTTCAATAATTTGGTATAGTTTCATCACATTCTGAGCAGAACCCAGAAGGGTCAATTGATAGTTTTTCAAGACCCTTTTTCTGTACATCAGCGATATCTCTATGTGAAGTTGTGGAACAATGAGAGATGTGAACTCCAAGAAAAGCAAGGTTTGTTTGGCAAATGAGAAAGAAGAAAAAAAAAAAAAAAAACTCGAAAGATTCTACTCTGATTGATTTGCTTCTCTTCTGCATTGTGTTGTATGAGATTGCTGACTTTTGTGGTGTTGGTGAAGCTTTCATGGCCCAAGACCCTGGTCAAGAAATGGCTCAATATCAAGAGCAAAACAGAGGACTTCCATGCTGACGATGTCGTATACGGAGGTTCATCTTTTTCCTGTTTTAATCTATATGATACAAATCTAATTTAGGGTTCCGAAATTGGGAATCTCAGCTTTTATATGAAGAAACAAAAAAAAAATGGGATTTTCTCTGCAACTTCTTCACTGACTTGCTGTTACTTGGTCTGCATCAATCACTGTTTGTGTTGTACCAAAACATTTTGGATTTTAATGGGGTTCTCTTCTGCCCTTTTATTTGAAAGCTCAAGTTCTATTCTTTGTTTTCTTTTTCTTTCTGGTTTTCAAAATTGTTTTTGGTTTCCATGTACATTGTTTTTGTTGTTTTGTGTTTATATATGCAATCAATTGATGCAGTAATAGTGGGAAGACCACAGCTTTAACAACTTTATGTTTTTGTTTTCTTTTTTCAGGTGGTGATGAAGAATGGAAGAACAATTTCTCAGAGAGGGAGGCATGCACTATCAAGAAAAGCAAAGCAGGTTCAGCATCAGATAATTAGTATCCCTATGGACCACACTATACTTAGCCACCTTAATCACATTAAAAATTAAAGAAATTGAGAAATTGTTTTTTGATTTTTTTTTTCTCCACCTTCTAATTTGTCTAATTTTTGCTCTCTTCTGAAATGGAAGAACAGATAGATCCAGTAGGAGGAACTCTGATCGAGTCCGGCGCGGTAAGAATGATCCAGAGGCTTCCCAAGTTATAGATGTGCATAATTATAGGTGTGTTTTATTCTTATCAATTGAATGTATTTACTTGTTTCTGTGACTTGGTTGATTTTTATTGTTTTCCCTTTAATATTCAGGATCTTCGTGACTACATGGAATGTGGCTGGCAAATCTCCCCCAAGTTATTTGAATCTTGAAGATTGGATTCATGCCTCGCCTCCCGCTGACATTTATGTTCTTGGGTGAGTTTTAATTAATCAAAATTCGTTGCACTTTTTCTTCCTTTTGACTATGAATCTTTTGCAATATTCAATTGTTCTTTTGGCAATTCAGGTTTCAAGAAATTGTTCCTCTAAATGCCGGTAATGTTTTGGGCACAGAAGACAATGGCCCAGCAAGAAAATGGCTATCACTCATCCGAAAGACTTTAAACAGTCTTCCTGGCACAAGTGGTGGCTGCCACACACCTTCACCAATTCCTGATCCTATTGTGGAACTAGATTCAGACTTTGAGGGATCAACAAGACAAGAGGCCTCATCTTTCTTCAATCATCGCTCATTTCAGTCCTTGAGTCGCAGCATGAGAATGATGGATAATGAGATGTCAATGCCACATCCCCGACTTGATCGTCGATACAGTGTTTGTGATCGTGCTATCTTTGGGAACAGAACAAGTGATTATGATCCAAATTTTAGATGGGGTTCATCAGATGACGAGAATGGGGGTGGAGATTCGCCAGGTATCACATACTACTCGCCAATCTCATACAGTGGGTCTATTTCAATGGAGGACAGAGAAAGACAGCCGGGGCAATCAAGATATAGCTTGGTTGCTAGTAAGCAAATGGTTGGGATATTCCTTACAGTGTGGGTAAAGAGTGATCTAAGAGACGATGTTCGCAACATGAAAGTTTCTTGTGTTGGAAGAGGATTGATGGGCTATCTTGGAAACAAGGTACATTGTTGCTTTATGAGAAATTTCTTGAAATTTGAATGCAAAAAGAAGAAATCTTATTCACTTGTGTTTTGCAGGGTTCGATTTCAATTAGCATGTCGTTGCACAAAACAAGCTTCTGCTTCATTTGTAGTCATTTGACATCTGGGCAGAAGGAGGGTGATGAGCTGCGAAGAAACTCTGATGTCATGGAAATTCTTAGGAAGACAAGGTTTCCACGTGTTCATGGTATGAAGGACGAGAATTCACCTCAAACAATCCTGGGGCACGAGTAAGGACCTCATTTACTCAATTCTGAACTTGTTATCTCAATCATTCTCTATTTTTTCTAGTCAGCCACTGTTCTGAGTTTTTTTCTTTGATTTTTTTTCTTTTCAAAAAAGACTATTTGGGTGAAAAAATACTCTTTAGCTTATTATGATCAAAGTGCTAAGACATGTTTGTGTTGATGTAGTCGAATTATTTGGCTTGGGGATTTGAATTACCGGATTGCACTCTCTTATCGTTACGCAAAGGCTCTTGTTGAGATGCGCAACTGGAGGGCGTTGCTAGAAAATGACCAGGCATGTCAATGAAGTCTTGCAAGGAACTTTGATTTATTGTCTCCTTTTTTTTTTTTTAATATATATGTATATATATGATAAATATTTTTTGCTTTTGCATTTTCTTTGAAACTTCGATGGTTTTTCTGTGCAGCTTCGAATAGAGCAGAGACAGGGACGTGTTTTTGAGGGATGGAATGAAGGAAAGATTTACTTCCCTCCCACTTACAAGTACTCAAATAATTCAGACAGATATGCGGGGGATGATATGCACCCTAAAGAGAAGAGAAGAACACCTGCATGGTAATCTGTTTTATTCATTTAATTGATAAATTAAAAAGAGCGAGGAACTTGAATCCACACAAGTGGCTCAAAAACTGATTTGAGTACTAATTAGCTATTTTTTTATGTGAAGGTGTGATCGGATATTGTGGTATGGTAGAGGCCTTTATCAAACATCTTATGTTCGTGGAGAGTCAAGATTCTCGGATCACAGACCAGTCTATAGCATATTTTTGGCTGAGGTTGAGTCTATTAATCGTAGTCGAACCAAGAAAGGTATCGGTTGTTCTAGTTCTAGGATTGAGGTTGAGGAATTATTGCCACAGTCGCTTGGATACAATGGCCTTAATTTCTATTAAGGAATGAATCCACATTTTAAGGTAAGATCTCACTCTCTCTCCCTATCTTCGCTCCGTACCTGGTTTTTGATGATTTCGCTTTTAAGATTATTCTCTTTTGTTCTGTAGGGCAAGGAACGATCTGTTTTTTGTTCACCAAGATACAAAAGCAGTTTTAGTGCTTCAGAATGGTACTACTGAATTTCTTTTTGATTGAATAAAGTTCCTTTTGATTCCTTCCTCCTTTCAATTGAAGTAGGTTCTTGTGGACTATTAACAGGATTTGAGGCAAATTCCGAAACCCATGAGAGAAATTCAATTTTTCCCATCAATTCAACCTGATCTTGACTCCTCTTTCAATAAGGTGATCACTCAACTTCTCTGAATTCTTCATTTTTTTAACCAAAAAAAAAAAAGAAAAAAAGTTCTTTTTTATCGAATTGGTGACAATGACCGATCAATAAGTGCATATTTTGCGGTCCATGGCCATGGGATCTACCATTTGCACAAAACAGAACGCTTGTCTCTTTTTTTCCGGGCATTTAATAAAACTGTGGGCTATTTTGAATTCAACTTTTACAATAAAAGAGCAGTACTCTTGCCATATTTTTCTGAAAGTGTTGTTGTAAATCAAGCCTTTCTCTATTAAAGATCTGTTGCTTGGTCTTACTTTTTTTTCCCTTGTCATTTGGTCCCCCGTTGGCAGATTGCAGAATGAAACTCGGCCTCGTTGATGATAGAGATGTTTGGTTGCCTGCACTCCAAAGGTTGTTTGGCTTTTTCTTTTTTTCTTTTTTTCCCTCTTAGGTTTGCCTTACGATTATTTTTATGATTTTCAGAAATTCTTACCACCCGTTGTAATTTTTTCTGATAACTACTACTAACTCGGCTGTTCTCACGATTCTTTTCATCGCCAGAACCTTGTTAGTCAAGTCCTCCTACCCAAGAAGAGGGAAAATTGAAAGTCTCCTAATCAGAGAAAAATAGTGCATTGTAATTAGGTAAAAAAGGCTAATTTATTATTCTTCGCATTGTTTGTAATGATATCACTTTATGAGTTTAATGACACTATACAAAATTTTACTTTATCTGCTGTCTAACTTTTTTTTTACTTAATGGTTTTGCAGGATGAGCACCGTTATGTCTAGAAGAGCCAATAAATTTAACCAAAATTATTTTAAATAAAAATAAAGTGAAAATTAGAGATTGTTTTGTACCTGGAAGAATAAAAAAATCTAGGATATTCTTTGTATTATTTTATATTGAATGTAGAGAATGATGGAGATGTTGATGGGTGTTCATTATATATAATACAAGTGAAAAAGAGTTGAAGTTGAAGCTATGATGGATATGAAGCTTTGTTTTTTTCCTTTTTTTTTTTTTTTTCTTGGCTGTTGCTGTGAATGATTTCACTGAAAAGATGAGAAAAAAGGAGGGTAATTTTCTTGATGGCCTTGACAGCTACAATATCAATTTTCTTTTCTTTTCTCTCTCCAAGGTGGTTTCTTAAGAGAGGGACCTCATGGTTACTTGATACTGTTCAAAAAAAAGGTGAAAGCTCTGAATAAAGCATATTGCAGCTTTGCTCTTTTTTATTTGAATAAAATTACAATATATATATATCTTATATTCACCTCTCTATCTGTGCAATGTTCTTTTTGGAATTTCTTGGCATTTTGTTCATTTAATTTTTCTTTTTCTTTCAAAATGTCACCTTTTATTGTTGGAATGGATGTAATCGATCCCTAGAATTCAACGTTCATACTCACATGTAGAGTTGAAGTCAGAATTTTTGTTCAATAAATATATCAGAAGCAAATTTTTTCTATATGAGAAAAGAGATAGAGAGAGGAGAAAATTAAAATTAAATTGAAGGACAATAGAAAACAATGGAGGGAAAATTTTTCAAAATATCCTTATTTTATATATCATGTGTCACTATAGTATTATAAATAAATAATTGAGATGTATTTATAATTTTCAAGAAACGGTGCAATGTTGACGTCTCCAAGAAAACTGTAACCGTGTGATGTTACATACCCAAAAAAACTCTGGTCATTTTTTTACATCAAAGATAGTGAAAGGCTGAAATGGTTGAAGAAGTAACTAATGAGTGCGGGGTCCCCAATCTTCATATCAATAATGTCAGAATATAGTAATGTTATATAAATAATTTTTTTAGTTAAATTGATGTTGCAATTAGTTATTTTATTATCTAATAGTATTTGGAAACAAGTTAAACAACTTAATTTTTCTTAAAAAAGTAAAAAAATTATTTAGTTATTTGTCATCTATTAAAAAGTCAATTTTTTTTTTCTTAAATTGATGTTGCAGTAATTTTTATTTATTTATTATCTAGGAGTATTTGGGAACAAGTTAAAAAACATAATTTTTATTAAAAAATTAAAAAATTTATTTAGTTATTTGTCATCCATTAAAAAGTCAAATGTTATGTAGTATTTTAGCAATTTTTATTAGATCATTATTTTAGTTTTTAAAAATTCAAAAAATAAATCATTAAAATAGTCAACCCAAATGAACCCATTTAAAGTTCCAAATCTTGATTGTTACTTGACATAATTAGTTCGTTAAAAGAAAATATTTATGTAACATTTTTCTTATTACTATTTATAACGTTACTAACTAAGATGTCAAGTATTAATCTTGATTATTACTTAACATGATCCGTTTGTTAAAAGAAATTATTTATATAACATTTTTCTTATTACTATTTATATTGTTACTAACTGATATGCCAAGTATTAATGAAATTTTAGAAACTAAAACAATGACTTATTTCAATAATAGGATAAGATAAGTGTCAGCCACATTAAAAGGTCAGTAATTTGAATATCTCTATTGACATGTAAATTTTATTTTTTATGTGTTTGTTAAAATTTCTCACTTGAAAAGTTTCTTTGCATTAATGACATGCTATCTTTAATTGTAAAAACAACTTACAAATGTATGAACAAAATTATAAATTTACTTTTTAATATTTGTAAAATTTATTATTAATTTAAAATTTTTTTTCAATACCATCTTATGTGAAATTATCCCTATTAAATTTTTATTGTTATGATTAATATAATTATAATTTGTTAGGCTTTGTTTAGTGCTTGTTTGAGATGAGTTCTTTTTAATTATTTGAATATTTTAATTTGGTTAAAAAAATTATATTTGAAATGATTTTTAAATTTTTTTATATAATTAAATTGATAATTTTAAAAAAATAATAATAATTATAATTTAAATATAATATTTTATTTTATTGAGTGAAATAACCAATAACTCGTACTACATAGAAAAGGGCGGAATTTGAGCAGAAGACATGTCTCCGTCAACACAGCTTGCTGGTTTTCCGTGCCCACATTCCGTTCCCAACTTTGCCCTTCCGTGCCCCTTTTCCATTCCCCAATCGTGCTCAACTACAGTCTGACCCACGCTCCTTTTTTTTATTTTATTATTTTAATTCTTCTTTTGTTTTTGTTGTTTTATTATTAGTAATTTACTATAAATTATAAGAAAGTTGCTTTGAGGGATGGTTTTATAATATTCATTCTTTCCAATAATGTTTTAAAAACTGGACCGATGAGTGAATCAAAAAAATGATTGGGTGGACGGGTCACCGGTTCAATCGTCGGGTTGAACCAGAATCGAATCGTGACGTCATAAATATATTAAAATTATATTTAAATAAAAATATAAGTAATAAAATTGGGGTTAAGAGACTCAACATCACCCAAGATATGCAAGCATTGGTTAATTTCTCAAGAAAAACACATGAAACACTACTAGTAGTCCATAGAGAACTTTGATCACTTATGTGGAAGAGTCTGGTATTTGCTAATCCAAGAGTATGTACAAAATGAGATATACTAATCAAAATACACACAATCCAAAATGAGTAATGACCACAGAAAGCACACACATATTAACGTGTAATTGATATTCTTATCAATTCCAATATGCACCAAGAACTTCTCAAAAATTTCAAACTTGCAAAACCATAATAGGAAAATCTTTTTAGATTTTTTTAAATTTTTATTTTATATATATATATATATATATATAATAAGAAAGAAAGGAAAGAAAGAATAAAAAAAAGAAAAAATACAAAAAATTTGTTTAAACAGCCCGGTGAACCGGAACCGGGTCGACCGGTTCGGCGGTTCGACCGCCGATTTTTCCGGTTCTCCCAAAATAGGCTGGTTTTCCACTATGATCGGTTTAATGGGTGTACCCGGACCGAAACCTCGACCGGCCCCGGTCGGCGGTTGAACCGGCCGGTCCGGTTTTTAAAACCATGCTTTCCAAGTAAGTCTTTAAAAGATTCTCGCTCTGGTGCTTAAAATAAGAAAATACTCTTATCGAAGTGTTGAAATTAGTACTCTGACGAGCAAATAAGTCTTCAACCGAAAAAAATAAGAAGTGTTTTAAGTTTTTAAAGAGTTTAGTAGTTTTTTTGCATACCTTCCCCCTTTGCCATTGCCTTCCTTTTATAGAGCATTTAAAGTTCCAAATCTTGATTGTTACTTGACATAATTAGATCATTGTCATATTAAGGCCCATCCCTCTACTACACCTCTAAAAAGGGGTAGCTTAAGCCCACACCAAATGGACTATCAAGTTAACCTCACTTCACTAGTCGGCGCCAGTGTCAATGTGCTCAACATTCCGTGCTCGGCACATGTTACATCCCATTTGGCCCATCAATAATGGGCTTGGATGTGCTCTGTTTGCCGATTTAGACATTTATTTATTCAGCTTCCATAGTTACGTATACACAACTATAGATGATAGAGAGCAATATATTTATATAGGGAAGCTAGAACTATTAATCTGAGTTGATTATATTTTTTCGTTAGATTAATGTGAAATTTTTATTTTTATTTTTTATCATAATGTGGAGAAGACGATGGAAAACATAAATATATTGTAAAAACTCTATTAATTAAATATGTAACTGCAATTGGAAAGATATAGGCTCTGTTTGTTTGAGTTTTGAAACTTTAGTTCCAGTCATTGGTTCTCACGCGATGTTTGTTTGTAGCTTTCAAAAATTAATTCTACGCTCACTTTTGAAAACTCGGTCAAAGGCGGGAAAATTTGGACTAACTGGTCGTCCCACTAGTCGTTTGGTCGGTTGACCAGAACACTGTATTTTTTTTTTTTTGCAATTGACACGTGTTAATTTTTATATATTCAACAAAAAATGTTTTCCGAATTTTTAAATTTTTTTATGAGCTTTAATAGAATTTTGAGTTGTTTGTTTAATTATGAGTTGTAAGTTTTTGTATCAAATTTCATACGTCACATCAAAAAATTCTTACTCAATTTAAAACTCATTCACCAAACAAAATTTTCATACTCAAATCATAATTCCAAAGCTCACAAACTCAAAATACAATTCTTATTCTTAAATCATATTTAAAAAAACTCTACCAAACGCTATTATAAATTTTTCAATGCCTAAGTCAGTGATGATAATGATAAAACTCTTAGGGGTTGTATGGGGTGTACTAATAAGTACACATTTTTTTATCTTTTTTAGATCACATCATCTTTTTATTTTTTTACATATCTTTTCATAAAATGTCAAAAAATATATTTATTTAGTTCATTTCAAACCATTCCTTAACGTATAAATTAAAGTGTTTAAGATTGTGTACTTTACTTTTTGATATCATTGCTTACTATTATATCGATAATCCCCGGTGAGAGGTATTTGCAACTATTTTTTTATGCTCGCATTAGTTTTATTTGGGATAACTTATTAAAAAAAACTACAATTAATATCAAAATATTTGATATAATTTTCAGTTCAATTATGTTACGTAGCTCGAATCCTTTCTTCCCCCGAATCCCCCGAACTCAAAACGACGTCGTTTCGTCGTTTTGAATTTTTTTTTCCCCAATAACGCAGAAGAAGAAGAAGAAGAAGAAGAAGAAGGAGGAGGAAGAGGAAGAGGAGAGTAGCAGAGAAAGAGAGAGAGAGAAAAAAAATCATCATTAACAACATCATCATCATCATTATCTTCAGATCTTTATCAACATCATCATCAACAACCATTTAACCATTCATCTTCAACAACAACAACATCTTCAACAACATCTTCA